AAAAAAAAAAAAAAAACTTTATTGGCATTTTGTTTCGGCATTTTTTCATTAGTGAATTCTCAACACTTCTCTTCAATCTCCTTCCAGACTGACTTCATGGGTATGTTATGATCTTGTCATAATCTTTTACATTTTCTTTTACTCTTTCTCTTCTTTTGTGCGAAAGTCTTCCATCCACCATGGTTTCCAGTGCTCGACTACCCCATCCCAGGAACATCTACCTGATCGGGTTGGCAAATTTCTGGGTCAAGGAGCTCATCAACCCAACCATGTTTCCTTTTGGACGCCATAGAGAATAGCTCTCATATAGTCGAACTGCCTTACCCCTGGGAACATAGGGTTCAAACCACAAATAATCTCAAAATGCCACTCAAAATCCTAAACGAATACAGCCATGCCAACCCCATGGTGAACTTGAACTAATTCAATTAACCCACTCTCAGTGATTACACAATTTATCATACAATGGATTGCGTTACAGGTAATCTTCAAATACATATTATGCTAATTCAGTCAACCCACCTCTCAACAAAGACCAATGAAGACATAATCTATCTAGCATATAGGGGATTGCATTACAAGTAAGCACGTGCGACCAATCATCCTATCGTAGATGTGGACAATAGGTTGAGAATAACACATAATACCTGCAGATGCCTTATACTATCAACTTTACAGATGAGGTCTCAACTTCAAACGTTGACATGGTTGATATTTAGGGGATATATTCGTTTGAGATTTCTAAAGACTTTTTGAGATTTAAAAAATGATGGTGCACTAATTTAGACTATTTAAGACTTTTAAAATGTTTCAAAGTATTTATTTGAAATTATAAAAGTGTTATAAAATTCTAAGATATTTAACTTATTTGAGACTGAGATTTGTTAGGACTTTTAAGATTTGTTGAGAATTCAATATATATACACACAAAATCCAACTACAAATGTCACTTCCAAACTTAAAATTTCATACCATTCCACATAAATCTAAAAATCTTGAAAAGTTTTAAATTTTACTCAAAACATCACTCACAGTTCTTAACGAATACATCCCCTTAAACACGGAATATTTCCTCTTATTATTATTATTATTATTATTATTATTATTATTATTATTATTATTATTATATGATGATTTATAAAAAATCAAAATTCAAGTCCATTCACAAACTCAAAATAAAGTTCAGATTACAACTCAATAAATCTTTTTCAATCCTAATTGACTTAATTCGATTAATCCAATGTTTTTTTTTAAAAAAATTGCCTTCAACAAATATCTGAAGGATCAAAATAAAGGATTGAACTTCTTTCAACTCAGTCAGCTTTTTTTCAATTCTAAGTGACTTAATTACTGAACTCTAAGGGCACAAGTGGCTACAAAATATAACCAATTTTGATTGGTTGGATATATTTTCCACTTTTTAACTCAAAATCCAGTTGAATTTTCTTAATAATCAATATAATCAAATAATATTAATAAATCATCATCATATATCACATCAATTTTAATTCACTATTCACTCTCACATATTTT